AGTTGTATTAAAGTGTGCCTGAAGATCAGAAGCAGCTGCAGTGACAAGACTATATTTATTATGTATTTAGTATCTTAAGGAGCTGTTTTTCACAGCTGTATCAGTATTAATGTCCACAAAAAATATTAACATGGGAAATAGATGCATGAAAACTGCCTCCTGTTCAAAGACAGTTATTTACTGAGGTTATGTAAATAACTTCACAAATATAACTAATTCCAGAGTTCAATTTCACTGCATTTCTGTTAATAAACATCAAGTGGCAAGTGCATCTTACAGATCATGATGGAACTACGGCTAAACAATTAACAAACATGGTTAGATTTGTCAAAATATGGCAGTGAAATATGAGGACAAATGGTGTGTTCTCACCCACTTTGTCACACAGAGGCCAACCAAACCCTTGTGCTCTCAGGACGTTGGACATTCTTCCTTTCAGTTACATGTTGACACATTGAAATACCCGTTTGACAATGCCCAAAAAATGCACGCATAGTTCAATCACTTTATCCACTCTAATCGTCAGAGAAAGCTCGCAACATGTGTTTGCCGTAGTTGTATCAGCTACTTAAGATATAACTCATGGGTGATTAAAGCAAGGTAAATTAGTGTGCACTGCACCTACCGGCTCAACCCACTAAAAAGCCCACAGATTATATTTAAGGGTACATGTGGCAGTGAACCAAGGATTACCCCAAGATTAACACATGTATTACAACAAACAACAATTTAATATGTTAAAAACAATAAAAAGGTATATATGTAATATACCTGTGACACAGGTTATAATAAAAGAGGCAAAACCATTTAAAACAAAACAAAGCAACACTAAACCATGAATACAACTAAATTGATAATTTAAACAAAACAGCAGCGGCAGTCAACGTCTCCTGCTCACTGCACAACACCCATCTGGAGAGCTTGACGGGGAAGTGGGAGTCTCTTTGGAGCTGGACCGAGAGCCTGGGGGTCAGAGAGATGGGAAGACGCAGCTCATGGTATGGCTATTTATGGTGGAACAAACAAATTGGGAACCAGGAAGTAGGAGGGGCTAAATCCTACCCAGCTCTACAGTAGCCCAGGAGGGACATTTCATTGCTGGCTATATTAGCATTATTATTATTGCAACATCGTCCATTTGCCCAACGTCTGATCAACAAAACAGATACACTGACGTAGTCCTGTCTCTGTTTGGCTCACACACACACACACACACACATACACACACACACACACACGCCCACATTCCACTGAGGAACGTTGTGTGATGTATAATTATTCACAGGATTAGATAACGTGACTTTTGGAGCCACACTTAAGGATTGTCATTCTAGATGAACGCTTGCTTTTACTGCAGGTAAGTCACATTTCTACTTCTCTGATTTTTCTATCAAAGAACTTCCTGCAGGAAAGCAAAGACTTTTTATCGTATAAAAAAATAACTATTAACAGTGTGAGAAATGAGCATCTTCGGTTATACCCATTTATTTGCACTTTTCCAAAGTCTCTTCTGATTGGTGGCTCCACAGATATCTCTCACCTTGTCATCTTCTGTATCTCCCTGCTTCACAGACTTGTGTATGTATTCCCTTTGACAGAGAGTCATTTTATGTCAGAGCATTGACAGTAATCAAGGACAATGAGCTCGTTGATGATCCAATCACCTGTCTCACAGGAGACAGATGTTTACATCTGTGCATACATGCGTGCCTACATTCCCATCTTCTCCTGTGCTTGCACAAAATCCAAAATATCAGACAATGTATTCTCGCTCTTTAAAAAATATTGAATGTACTGATGTGGTTACTCAATTAACTCTCAAACTAATTGTGAGAACAGTTATTAAAATAAATGGAAACTAGCTTAATTAAATAACGGTCTTGGGACATTGATCGGCCTTTTGCATTCAAAGGTTCAGTTTGAGTTGTAACCTATAGTTAATGTGTAGAACATGAAAACCAGATCTGAGCAGCGTAACATAAGAATTCCTCGTTAGATTATAGAGACAAACATGTTACTGCGGTCAAGATATTTACTGAATAGCAGGAACAGTACTTCTACTCTAAATGTGAGTCCAAGATTTAGTTACCCCTCATGTTATTTTATGTCTTAAATTGTTAGGAAGAGGTTTGGAGACAATATTAAAAGCAAACAAGGTTCAACACAAACATTCATGACCTATTCATCTGCTTTGTCAAAATGTTTTGAAGTAATATGATAGTCCAATTTCTCCTTTTACAATGACAGTGAAACCGTGTGAAGAAAAAACAACAGTAGATTCAGGAAAGATGTCTTCCCAAGTCAGACTGAGGCTGCTGCCGAGAGCCAGATGCATGTTCGATGAGCCCGTCCAGGTGAAGGTGGCCGGGCTGAGGTCCAGACAGGTGGTCACCGTGAGAGCCAGATCGACCGACGAGAAGGAAGTGGTGTTCAGCTCCTCGGCCACCTACAGGGCCGATGGGGGCGGGGAGGTCGACCTGGAGAGGGACCCCTCTCTCACTGGGAGCTACACCGGGGTTGAGCCCATGGGTCTGCTGTGGTCCATGAGGGCAGACTCTTTGCACAAAAGGTTTCAAAGAACAAAGTCACTAAACCCTCACGTGGTGAAGTTCTCCGTGCACGAGGAGGAGGGCAGGATGCTGGCAGAGGCGACCAATGAGAGGCTTCTGATTGGAGACGGGGTCAGCAGGCACACGGTCAAAGAGGGGAATGTTCGTGGGGTCCTGTTCACTCCGCCAGGTTGGTTTCTTTGTTGTCTTTATCAAGTTCTAATCATTTTTCTAAAGTTAAAAGTTGGATCAAAAATGTGCATCAAAGAGATCAAAAACAACAATGAATTGATTATAGCTTTACAGCAGAAGGGTTGGATACTTTTATTAGTTGTCCGTGGTCCAAAAAATGATTATAGAGAAGACGTGTTCTCAGTTTTAGTTTCTAATGTGAGTCAACCTTTCAAGATCGCTGGATCCTCGACTTTCCATAATATAACTCATCTTTCAGACGTAATGACACATGAGACTTTAGTAGTATCCCTTCTGACCAGGAAACTGATAAAAACAAACATGCATCGTGTATGTTTGTCATCTTGCATCCTCCCATGTCTTCTGATCCAGGAAGAGGGCCATTCCCTGCCGTGCTGGATTTGTACATTTTAGGGGGAGGTTTCTCAGAGAGGAGGGCCTCTCTGCTCGCCAGTCGAGGATTTGTGGTCCTGACCGTAGTGGCGTACGGTTACGATGACATGCCGAAGAAGATCAAAGAGGTCCATCTGGATTATTTTGAGGAAGCAATACAGTTTTTGAAAAAACAAGATAAGGTGAGTTCTCTGAATCTCTGACAGTCTTTTGAGATTTTTTGAAACGTTGCTCGGTTTCAAAGATGCTGATCCATAGAAGTCTTTGATGAAGTGTAATTAATGTTTATCTGCAGAAAAGCCCATGACATCATAATAAATAGTTTGCCTCATGTCTATTTTACAGGTGGGCAGTAAAGGAGTTGGTGTGATATCCATTTCAAAGACTGGAGATCTTGCACTATCAATAGCCTCTTACCTGCCAGGTGTTGAGGCCACAGTGTGGATCAACGGCTGCTCTGCCAACACTCTTTTACCCCTCTACTATAAGAAGAGACAAATCCTCCCTCCGTTAATGATTGACCTCAGCAAAATGATTCCCACTGAGTCAGGGGCCTTCATTATCAAGAATGTTCTCCATAACCCGCTGGCAGAGGAGAACAAGGCCACCCTGGTCCCTGTCGAACAAGCGGAGGGGCGTTTCCTCTTTGTGGCCTCAGAGGACGACCTCAACTGGGACAGCAAGGCTTACATGGACATGATGGTGGAGAGACTGCAGCGTCATGGGAAGGACAACTTTGAGAGCGTTTGTTACCCCGGAGCGGGGCATTATCTAGGGCCGCCTTATGGTCCCTACTGCCCCTCCAGTGTTCACTGGGTTGCACGCAGGCCGTTCCTGTTGGGGGGTGAGCCCAGTTCCCATGCAGCAGCTGAAGTCCACCTGTGGAAGAAGATCCAGGAGTTCTTCAGAACTCAGCTGAACTGTGATGCTACGCAGATAAAAGCCAAACTATAGATCCACTTTTATATAGTTACACTAATGGGGATAATTGGTCTATATTTATTATATAAATTTGAGAATAGAAAGTCCACTTTAAGGGAAAGTCTGTCAGGTATAATTATGGCCTTATACTTGCTTACTGTCACTTATAAAGCTGTCTGTGTCTGTCTTGTATTCTGGCATGAGTAAACTTTAACTCAACCTTTTCCTAACCATGTTACTTAACTGGACCTGTTTGTATCTGTATCACTCTGCTAAAGTTTTACACATGCAGACTTAGACACGATGTGTTGTCTCTCTTTAAAGACCGCTGTTGTGTCTGTGCTGTTGTTGTGATCCCAATGCACAGACAAAAGCAGATTATACTCGCACTTCTAAGCTCTGTAACAGATGAATGAGTGGTGCCTCACTTTAATGAATAAAGTATTCAAAGAACGAAGCTTCTTTATCTTTTCAAATCGGGTCAGCCCAGAACAAGCTGCTCATAATGGAAGTCTGAAAGTAAAATGAGAAGTGAATGAAGCTATTGGCTCACGTCTTTAGGAGTAGACCTGGTTCTGCCCTCAGAAAACAGAAGTGAGACTCGGGGAGCAGCTCAACGTCTTCAGGCTGGAACACTTTATATTTACACAAAACGGGCAGCTGTTTGGCTGACTTTAGGTGTTCAGATGTTGCTGATAAACTCTTGTATTATTATGAGGAAATGGTACAACATTAAATTACATTTTGTTGTGACAGAGACCAGGGCAAAAAGGAACTGAAATACAGACGCACGGCATTATTGCTGCCGTGTATTAGTAAGAACATTTAATGTTTCTATTTTAGAGAGATGTTTTATCAAAGATAATCAGCAGTCTCTCTCTGATTGTCTCTTTGTCTTTCTCTAACACTCTGACTCTGACATTACACTCTCTACGAATTGATTAAATTGTCACATTAAGGAGTTTTCTTTGAGGAGAGTAACTGTGGCCACTAGATGGCAATGTAAGCTTGTAAATAAGCACCATGTGTGAGCTAGTGCTACCTGAGTTACAGGAATACACTAAATGTAAGGATTTATATTGAAACTGCTTTTTATTTTTTGCTTAATTTTGAGCACAACTTGTTAGAAAACAAGCAAAGGATATATTCACAAAAAGGTCAGAATCCAAGCAAATCTCGACTTTTTGGGGGATGAATTTAAATGCTATGCTGTTATATGAAAATAATAGTAAGACACCTGGCAACGTAAACAATAAAAAATAAGTCAAACTTTTGAGAGGGATGAACACTGGAAGTGTGCCTTTGTCAACAAACATCTGCTCCGCACCTGCAATAATATAAGTGCAACACTTCCTGTCGCTGAAGTCAAAAAGCTTTTATTGTGAAGCAGCCACAGCTTCCGGTAGTCCCGGCAGACGTTTAACATTTCAGTGCCTAAAAGTAAACTAAACAATTTATTTAATCTGAGGTATTGAAGTTGTATTAAAGTGTGCCTGAAGATCAGAAGCAGCTGCAGTGACAAGACTATATTTATTATGTATTTAGTATCTTAAGGAGCTGTTTTTCACAGCTGTATCAGTATTAATGTCCACAAAAAATATTAACATGGGAAATAGATGCATGAAAACTGCCTCCTGTTCAAAGACAGTTATTTACTGAGGTTATGTAAATAACTTCACAAATATAACTAATTCCAGAGTTCAATTTCACTGCATTTCTGTTAATAAACATCAAGTGGCAAGTGCATCTTACAGATCATGATGGAACTACGGCTAAACAATTAACAAACATGGTTAGATTTGTCAAAATATGGCAGTGAAATATGAGGACAAATGGTGTGTTCTCACCCACTTTGTCACACAGAGGCCAACCAAACCCTTGTGCTCTCAGGACGTTGGACATTCTTCCTTTCAGTTACATGTTGACACATTGAAATACCCGTTTGACAATGCCCAAAAAATGCACGCATAGTTCAATCACTTTATCCACTCTAATCGTCAGAGAAAGCTCGCAACATGTGTTTGCCGTAGTTGTATCAGCTACTTAAGATATAACTCATGGGTGATTAAAGCAAGGTAAATTAGTGTGCACTGCACCTACCGGCTCAACCCACTAAAAAGCCCACAGATTATATTTAAGGGTACATGTGGCAGTGAACCAAGGATTACCCCAAGATTAACACATGTATTACAACAAACAACAATTTAATATGTTAAAAACAATAAAAAGGTATATATGTAATATACCTGTGACACAGGTTATAATAAAAGAGGCAAAACCATTTAAAACAAAACAAAGCAACACTAAACCATGAATACAACTAAATTGATAATTTAAACAAAACAGCAGCGGCAGTCAACGTCTCCTGCTCACTGCACAACACCCATCTGGAGAGCTTGACGGGGAAGTGGGAGTCTCTTTGGAGCTGGACCGAGAGCCTGGGGGTCAGAGAGATGGGAAGACGCAGCTCATGGTATGGCTATTTATGGTGGAACAAACAAATTGGGAACCAGGAAGTAGGAGGGGCTAAATCCTACCCAGCTCTACAGTAGCCCAGGAGGGACATTTCATTGCTGGCTATATTAGCATTATTATTATTGCAACATCGTCCATTTGCCCAACGTCTGATCAACAAAACAGATACACTGACGTAGTCCTGTCTCTGTTTGGCTCACACACACACACACACACACA